TTTAAAATACTTTTGTGTATTTACTTTTTGGAGAGGTTTTTACTATAGGGCACTCGCACTTGCTGGAGAGACAGAGAGCGAGAAACTATCCCTAGGGGAATGTCCATGCCATAATCCCTTTTCCTCCAGTTTCCTATCAGGATTTTGGGCATGCATGCACACGCTCCTGGCGTGAGTTTTAAACCACTGGATTTGGGACTCAAAGCATGGTCTATTATGTGGGAGTCCAGTGACATAACTATTATGCCATCTGCTGGTTTCATTGTATATTTTCAAGTTTTACAGTGAGCATGCTTTACTTTTGTAACTATGAAAAATTATTTTGGACAGAAAAAGATGGAAGACAATAGAAATTATTAAAATATGATTATATTTATTGTTTAATAGTAAATTATAAAAAAGATTATTTGGATTAATAAGATCATTGCCTATTTAATGATTATAATAATAACAAAACTTTGTAAACTCAGTAGCAGCAGCACAATAGATAACTCAGGGAAATAAAAAAGAAATTGTAAAATCTTGGGATTTTTGTTTTGTTTTGTTTTTATTGTAGAATACATGTCAGCGAGAGAAAAAGCACCTTCAATGGTGTCTTGTCGTGCTGTGATTTCTTTTTCCCTGCCTTCCAGCTTCTCAGAATCCTGGGAACTTGCATGTGCCTGGTGTTTTTAGGTTGACCCAGGGATCTGAACCCTCAGTTGGCCATATGGCCTCCAGCTTTGCAAGACACCTAGGCAATGTGTCTTTTTCTTAAACAAACAAACAAACAAAAAACTTGCCATTGTTAACCTGTTAAATATTTAGCTAGATTAAAATTAAAAATATAGAGGATGTGAATAATATTAATATAATTCAGGTAGAAAGGAATATTTACTAGTTTTAGGGAATGGAGTAAACTAAACACTAAAATCTGAATAAATTCTTTATAAAGTTGACAATTTAGAGGATAAGTGGATCACAAAGTGATATAAACAGAAGTACATAAGTGTAAGTAAAATGAAACCAAGTTTAAAAATTAATTCTAAGGGCAAAAAATATAATTAAGAGCTATTTTAGGTAATAAGAAAAATAAATATGTATAAAAGCCACTGGAAGGCAGCCAAACTAGTGCTTAGAAAGAAGTACAGAACCTTAAATACTTATCTATTAAAAGAGAAAATTAAGCATTCATCTCTGATTATAGTAGAAAAAAGCCAACTTTAAGAAAAGGATAACGGTGAGAAATCTAGAAGTCTGGCCTGGTGCCTGCTTCTGCTCTATCTTGTATCTTTATCTTTGCCTCTCCCCTTTTCTGTCACCACTTTGTTCAGATCTTCGTATTTCATCCGACAGTGGCTGTTTTGCTTAGTTTTGTTTTGCATCAGTTTTACTAAATTTCTGTCTGACTGGTCATCAGTAGTGACTTGGAGATCTCTGTCAAGCGTTGTTCTCAACCTAGACCACATGCTGGAATCATCTTATTAAGAGCAGTTTAAAACAAAAGAAAAACTGATGCCTGGAACCCACCTTAGATCAATTAAAGTTTGGGGCCTGGACTTTGAGAGAAAGAGAAGAAGCAAGTAAGCAAACGAGCCAGCGCCCCAGGAGATTTTAGTGTGCCGCCAGGAATTGTGAACCACTGACTTAAGGGGAAGGTAAAAACCATTACTTTCTCCAGAATCCTCTCCTTTTTCATTATTCAGTTTCTCATTTTTTTAATGACTATTTTTGTTTATTTAACTTTTTAGGATAAACTTTAGAATAATCTTGTTAAGTTTTCATAATAATACTTTTAGGATTGGATTAGATGTATAGAATTAACTGGGAGAGGGTGTCATTTTTATAGTTTTGAGCCTTCCCACTCAGGAACATAGTCTCTCCATTTATTGATGGCTTTTTTTTTAATTTTTTATTTTTTTAAAGAATTATTTTATTTAACTTTATTCTAATTTGACCAGAGAAGGACAGAATGAGAGCAAGAGAGATAGAGAGAGAAAGCAAGCTGTCAGGTTCAGGACTCGAACCGTGGTCGGCCATGTGGGAGTCTAGTGTCCTTAACCACCACGGCCACCTGCCGACCCTTATTGATGGCTTTTATATCCCCGAGGAAAATTTGGTGATTTTTCTCTATCTAGGTCTCATACATTTCAAGGTTTTTCCTTAGGTGCGTCAATGTGAGCAGTGATTCCTTTCCCATCCCCACCGTATATTTTGGCCATATGCTACTGCTTTTTAGGAATTTATTATTCTGGTCTTACTACATTTGCAGAAATTCCAGGACCTTGGCAAATTACCCTGATGATGCTTACAATGTCTTGTCTTATTCTTTGACTATAATGAGAATGTCTCTGGTGCATATATTTAGCATGGTATTTGCTATAGATTTGGAATAGGTATTATTTATGTTCGTGTTTTTTCTATTTCCAGTGGCCTAAGATTTAAACCAGAAGCAAATGTTAGGATTCTAAAAAGACATTTGATAAAATATAGCAAAATGACGGTAATGATGGCATTTGTTGAGTGCTTTCTGTACACCAGGTATTCTGTGTATTTCGCATGTATCACTTTACTTAATTCTCTCCGTTACTAAATTCTCTCTGTAAACCACAGAGATTGCTACTGTTATTCTCAGTCTTCTGGTGAGGGACCCTATGAGCCAAGCTCAGCTAGAAAGTGATGGAGCCATGATTTGAGGTAGCCTGGCTTTAGAGCCTCAACCCTCATGCCAGTACTGCATGCCAGTTTGCCCTTTTATTTATTAATATGGTGATTTGATATAAATAGGTTTTTCAACTGTCCTTGAATTCCTTGGTCTAGTGTGTTTTTCTTTTTTAGTTTTTTGCCATAGGGTGTGTGCACTTGCCAGAGAGAGGGAGGGAGGGAGGAAGGAAGGAGGAAAAGTGAGAAATCACCTTACCCCCCAGGGGGGATGTCCATACAGTTTCTTCTTCATTCTCTTCTTGGGATTTGGGGCACACATGCACAAGCACTAGGTGTGTTTTTTCAAGCCACTGGGTCTGGGACTTGAACCATGGTCAGCCAGGTGGGAATCCAGCATGTTAACCACCATACTACTTGTTGACCCTGGGTTTTATTCTTTGACCCAGGAGCCTTTCTGTTTGTTTTCTAGCTGTTGCATTTTCATGCATGTGCTTTTATTTAAATTATTTCTAACTGTATTACATTTAAAAAGTACCCAATGATCACCTTGTTCACAAAGGCCTTTTCCGTTCTCCTCACCCCTAGGCTGAATAACTACTGCCCTGCCGTGATCCACTCCTAGCAGCTGCTCATCTCTCATACCAGCTTATAATATGGAAATGATGTGTTCTCCTCTGTCCTTCCCATCACACTGAAACTCTCTGGAGTTGAGACCACGTTTTGCCTCACCTTCCTGTACCTAGCAATCCTGTATAGTTCCTAATAAGCAGCAAGAGCCCAGTTAATATTTGTCCAACTAAACATTTCTCTAGGTCCCCTTTTCTACTCCAGTTGCTTAGGGTTAACTCTAAAGTTTCTAGTCATAAGAGAATTCGGTGATTCCAAGGGTTATCTTTTTCTAGCTGGAGAGTGCCTTTGTTGGAAAAATATACCACTTAGTGTGTGTGTGTGTGTGTGTGTGTGTGTGTGTGTGTGTGTTAGCTTTTGTCCTAAAGCCTTACAAATATTTTGTTTAGTACATATAAGGCTTTGCCCACTTTACAAATGAGAGAGTTAAGACTTAGAGAGGGTTAAGTAACCAGCCCCAGGTCACACAGCTGTAGTAGAGGGTCCACAGTATGAACACATAGCTTAATTTCTATGCAGTGAATGACATGGCATGTGTCATTAGGAATCCTGATCACTTTTAGCACGGTCTTCCCACGCTTCTGCCAAGACCCTGGAAAATGAGGTCATTTATTGTCTCAAATTCAGATTTCTATTATTCTTACTTTCTCATACCACAGTTTAAAAATAGGTATAAGTCTGCTCTTGTTCTTTTTGTGATTTCATTTTAATGATTAGGCTCAAGAAGTTTTCTTCCCTCTAGTAGCTTGATAAAGATTCAGTTTTTCCTTACTTCTAGTTTCCGTTTTTTTTTTTTTTTTGTTTAACCCTAAATGGAATTTATTTTGGCATTAACTGTACATGCATCATTTGAAATTGCATTTAAAATGCTGATGTATCTTAATAGGTTGAGCAAGTTGTCTTGTATTGCTAGATATTTAGGTTATTGCCAGAATTATGCTGCAAATACTTTTTATTTAAGGAATTCTTATTTTATTCTCCTTCTGGTGTTGTTGTTATTTATAGGGGTAGTGTGAGAGGATTCTTTTTCCCCTTCTCCTGTTGGGGTATCATTCCCTGAGGCTGTACTTTCAAAGGATTTTAAAAATGAAGTTATTTGATCAGGCATTTATCAAGTTCCTACCATGTTAGGACATTGTGCTGGGTGCTAGATTGCTAGTAGTTCTGATTGACAGAACTTTGGAGCATTTCTGAAGACTAATACATGCCTGTCAAACACGTTTTTGTTCACTTCTATGTGAACTATGTGTACTGGTTGATCCTGTCTAGTCGATTGTGTTAAAGTTGGCATGTTCTCAGGATGACCCTGGGTCTAGTAAGTGTAGTTTGTATTTTGTAAGTCTGGCTCTTTATTCAGGGTGAAATGTCTTTATTGTCTAAAATAAATATTTTATTGTTGGTTACATGATCTCACTTTAAATTTTTTGGTGGATCATTTCAGCAAACACAATTGTCTTTTTAAAGCTGTTTGAAACATTGACTAAAATGAGGAGCTTTGATTTTTAGTGTTTAAGATAAGCCGGGCTAGTTTAAAGGAAATCATGGATGCCAAAAATGATCTTAATGGCTCGATGACTAATCTTAAAGTAGAATATTTGTTCCATTTGTTGGTTGTAGTTCAGATTTCATACTGATAATTTCTTATTTTCTCTGCTGGGTAAATTTCTTTGTAATGAATGAATGAAAAGAATTTTAAAGAGATAAAGTGAGTTGTTTCTATTCTGTTTCAGGAATTCACTTAAACAACAATCTAAACCACTTGAAATTTGGCTTGGATCATCATAGACTGTCTTCCCCTACTCAAATAGCAAAGCAAGGGAGAGTAGACTTGCCCACCACAAGAACAGGAAGTGACAAGATCGTTCTCTTGGTGTGTAACCGAGCCTGCACTGGGCAGCAAGGGAAAAGGTAAAAAAAACTATTGATTTAACAATAGGTGCTGAGATTTTGAGAGTCTAATACTTGAAAATGTTTTAAAAAGCAGACATAAAAACTGCTTTTAGTAGTTCATTTTTTATTCTGATTTTTAGAGAGCTATGTATGTGTTTTATGTATGTGTGTATAAAATTATTTGTATATGATACATATCATTATAAGTATATACTCATATGTAAATATTTTTATATATGATATATATGGACTTTTCTCATACAAATATATATATATGTGTATATATATATATATATATATATTAAAGAAATAAAAAGCAACCCCAGTAGAAGTGTGGTCATGCTGCAATCCTCTTTTCTTTATTTCTTTTCCCCATCAAGACTTGGAGCATGCATGCACACATGCCTGGTGTGGTTTTCAAGCTGCTGTGGCTGGAATTCAGACTGTAGTCAGGCCTGTGGAATCTGCCTCCCAGTGCACAGCGCTTAACTTAATCACTCTGCTATGCGGCTGGCCCTAAAGGCTCATTTCATATGTGTATTTGTAATTCAGGTGCCTTTTGGGGCTCTAAGCCTGCATCCAGCTACTTAAAACATTAAAACTTTTTTTTTTTTTTCTCCAGAAGGCATGTGTGTTCACCAAGGAGAGACAAGGAGAGGTAGAAAACACCATCCATGGTGAATGGTCATGCCACAATTCCTCCTCCATTTCTTCATCCTGTTGAAACTTTGGGCATGGATGCATAGGTGCTGAGAGTATTTTTTAAGACTGCTAAGTCCAGGACTCAAACTGTTTACTGTTGTGAGTAAGCAGTTTGATAGTTGTTAGGAATAGATTTCTTGCTGACCTTAGCACTTCTGCTTCTGGGTGGGCTTGAATCATTTTATCTCTTAGCTTGTTCGTGTATTTATTCATTCATTTATTCAGCATTTGCTGTTTTCTAGGCATTGGTTGTTTAGACTACTAACATAAATAAATCACAGATTTTATTGTCAGATAACTCAGTCTATTGATGGAGGCAGAAAATTAAGCCTGCAGTGGTTATAGGAGAGGTAGGTAGTACTGTGGTACAGATAGCATAGGTAACAGACCACAAGGTGCTTCCTGGTAAGAATGCCTACACTGCGTCTTCATGTGGACCAGTAGGAGATAATCTAAAAGGATGGGAGGGATATTCCTAGTGAGGGAATTGCCTATACAAAGACAGAGATGTGTGGGACCAGCAGTTAGTGTAATGGCTATCTCGCTGGACTCCCATGTAGTTGACCGTGGTTCGCATCCTGGACCCGGTGGCTTAAAACTCATGCCAGGCGCGTGTGTGTGCGTGCCCAAGATCCCAAGAGGAGAACGGAGGAGAAGGGATTGCGGTGTGGCCACCCCCCTGGGGGGTGATTTTTTGCTTTCTGTCTTTCTGTCTCTGTCTGGTGAGCGCACGCGCCCTATAGTGAAAACCTCTCCAAAACAAACAAACAAACAAAAAAAACCCTCTCCCCCCTCAAAAAAAAGATAGGGATGTGTGAGAGTACAACTCATTCAGGGAGCAGCAAATAGGTTTGAATGACTGAGGCATAGATCAGAGTCAAGGCCAGACCTGTGGTCCTCAACTTGGGTTATTTTAGAACCACCTGGGAGCTCCTAAAACCAAATCTTAGTTATTAGGTTTCATTCTAGACTGATTTTATTGGAATCTCTAAGGACTGGGTTTGGACATCCTCTTCTAAAAGTTCTCTTGATCCTTTTAGTCATTAGCTGAGGCTGAGAACCATAGTACCCCCTTTGTTCTCTAGGATGTAGAAACCTAGCAGAGGCCAGATGGCTTCTGGCCTAGGGTAGGGTGGTTTTTCCATGTCATTTGCTTGCCAGTGCTTCCCTTGTCAGACTACCAGGAGTTAGCGGCCTGCTGGATAGGTCTTCTAGCCCCATCTGTTCCTCTGGCACCTAATCCTTTATAGATTTGACCCATAGTGCTTGCCAGACTTGTGTCCATTCCCACCCTCTTTTCTCACCTTCTCCTTAATCCTGCTTCCTGCTGCCTAATACCCTAGCATCATTGTCCTATGGAAGCCGTTTTGGTGTATGAGCTATTTAGTTTCATTTAGAATCAAAACTTTTTAAAAAATCTCTTGAAGAGAGTTACCATTATATTTCCTGTTTATTTTGATAACTGTCTTAAAATTATATTGTGATTTCTATTTTTCTATTTTAAAAGATCAAGATTAAAAGATTACAGTGGTAAAGGGATTGCTATACTTTTAAGGTGATTACCATATTTTGTGTGTTAGATTTGGACTGCCTTTCGTGCTGCACTTAGAGAAGACAATAGCATGGGACCTTCTGCAGAAGGAAATCTTAGAGAAAATGAAGTATTTCTTGAGGCCCACAGTTTGCATTCAGGTTTGTATGCATTTTAATATTCCAGCCTAGGATGCATGTATACACAGTGAAGAGACAGTCATTACAATGCAATTTGAATTTGTTGTGTTCAGATTTTCAAGACTGAGAACCTAATGCCTGATTTTATGAAAGGAGCTGGCAGGATTTTCCTTGAACTGCTTCATAATCCTTTATAATACTTATCTAATAAAGTTTAGTACATGATCAGCTGGGGAGGTCTTAGAACATCTATCAGTATATTTTAAAAATACTGATTTCTTCCTTAAGTTACCTATAGAAGACCATCAAGGTAATGTTCACAAAAGCAATGTATTACTTGTCTTGCATAACATTTGATACGTAAATTGTGTTTGGGTAAATCATGTTTAAAGTGTATTGGGATGGCTCAAGACCTAACAATATTAGAGAAAAGCATTTTGCAGAGCGAACTGTTTACTATACCTCTAATCTGCTTTGGAAATGCAACTGCGAAATGGATGCCTTTGAAGAGAAATTCAGCCTGATGCTCATTTAACATGTGATACAGGTGTGTCCATTCAGTTTGCGTGTGGTCAGTGTTGTGGGAATCACGTACTTGCTACCCCAGGAGGAGCAGCCCCTGTGCCACCCAACAGTAGAAAGGTAAAACAACAACAACAACAACTTCAAGTGATGTCTGGTATGATTTCCATCTCACTGTGCTAGATTCTTAGGGTCATTTAGAAATTAAGTACTTCACTTTTGATTCATATCCGAATATGTTTTATGATCTTTCTTTAAGTCAGAAAAGCTGTGGAGTCCTCATATTAAAAAGCAAATTCATGATGTATGTATGTTCTAGGACTAAAAATAAATTACACTTTGTATTCGGCAAAACTGAAATTTTCCAAAGTAGCGCGCTTTCCTTGAAACCCCTAAATGGTAACTTGTGGCCTAAAACGTAAAGCCTGAGTTTCATAGTATATAAAGTTCTTCACAGTCCGAACTCTGACTACCTTTCATCAGGCCTTGGGCATGGTCTGAAGACTGGGCCTGGTTCTGGCAGGAGAGGTGCAGGTATGGATTCTGTTTTCAGGAAACTGTTGTCCAGTCTCTATTTGGGTGGGTGAGAAGTTGGACAAAAAGTTGGGAAGGTCATAAGAACTTCAGTGAGCAATTGGGGACAGCCTTGTAATGTGATACGACATTTTTTCCACTCTTTATTTCTATATTGGACATTCTAATTTAAGGAGTTTTTCAGTCCAGTTATAACCTAGTTATTAAATCTGAGGTTATAATGGTTTCACTGAAAACTTTTTCTGATGGGGAATTGTGATGAAGATTTTCAGTAATTTCATTGTGATTTCAGATAGGACAAAATTACATTGAAGTAAAATTATTTATTTAGAACATAATATGCATCCCCCCATTCTACAGGGCATTAAAATCTTGTGGACCAGGTGGTACTGCTCATGTGAAATTAGTGGTAGAATGGGACAAGGAGACAAAAGATTTGTGAGTATTTCTTTTAACTTACTTTGTAGAATTATAGTTTTAATTATCATCATAGTAGCATATCTTTGATCTCAAACACAAATGAACTGAAACGTAAATCTCCCTTCTCTTTAGTTAAGTATCCAAATATATTGTTAATGCTTTAAGCAGTTTATTATTCCTTTCCCGTACACATTTGTTAACTGCTGAGAGAGAAGTTCTATATTCATTAGCTACTGTATAAGTTCAGTTACTTGGACTTTTATTGCAGGTCAGTTAACACGAGTAAGCTATGGAAATGCTGCCCTCGGACACAAGGGACAGAGCATGTGATTTAATCAGCACAATTTGTGGCTAGTCACAGAAAAACCAATTCCAAGTTTGCTCTTGAAATAGCATAGGGAACATTTTAAGAACATTTTAAAACATAGAAACATTGAACCACCACTTTTGCCCTCTTACACCTTGATCTTTGGATTATAAGTTGGTTATTACCAGTTTGTGAAGCTGTAATTGTATTTTTGCGTTTGTTTTGCTAGACGTTCTCTGATAAATACTTTCCTCCTGAATTGTAGCTTGTTTGTAAACACTGAAGATGAGTACATTCCTGACGCAGAAAGTGTCCGTCTGCAAAGGGAGCGTCATCATCAGCCTCAGACCTGCACTTTATCCCAGTGTTTCCAACTGTACACCAAAGAGGAGCGGGTAAGAGTTGGCAAGTACTTCTTGGGTGCTGAGGCTGGTAGAGACAGGGGCATGGCCAGATGACAGTGGAGAAACGCCGAAGCCCCCAGAACACTCCCTAGGACTCTGCATTTGCATAGGTTTGATACATGTAGTGGGCAGCCTAGTGCTCTTACTTTTAGGACTTTTTGTTAATAAGTAGTGAAATTTCTAGAAAATCTTGATTAGTGGAAATATTCTAGAAATGAATTTTTGTCGTTCCTTTTTAATTGCTAATGGTCAGTTTATCTTTTCGTTTCTATTTAGAAATGTAAGATTATGTTTCTTAGTAACTGAAATAGTTGGTTCTCAACTCACTACCTGTATACTAAGAATATAGATGCCAGGACCTTTTTAAATTTAAATTTAAGTTTAATTAAATAAAAAACTTATTTTTTTAGTTGCATTAGCCTCATTTTAAGTGCTCATTAGACACTTATGGCTAAAACCTCGTGCAGTGAACAGGGCAGATACAGACAGAAGGTTCTCTTAAACAGTCGTGCTTTGAAGCAGTGGTGCTTTGAAGCATGCAGCACAGTGCTTTGCAGGTAGTCAGGATTCAGTAAATGTTTAAAAGAATGGATGTACAGAGAGATGGATAAATTAGTTTCTATGGGTGGGCACAGGTGCAGTGAACAGGGCAGATACAGACAGAAGGTTCTCTTAAACAGTCGTGCTTTGAAGCAGTGGTGCTTTGAAGCATGCAGCACAGTGCTTTGCAGGTAGTCAGGATTCAGTAAATGTTTAAAAGAATGGATGTACAGAGAGATGGATAAATTAGTTTCTATGGGTGGGCACAGGCCTGTGTGGTTTTTGTCCATGAGAAACTTTTCCCAGAGCACTTGGAGTTCATCTCATCTTACGCTAATGTTTAGGGTCATAATTTTGACTCTTCACTCCTGTACGTAGGGAATCTTGGAATTTCAGGATCGAGGGACTCTTAAGACTCATTTTTTCTAATGGTTAGATTCTTCTACTTAATTTCAAATAGGTGATTCTGCAGCTTCTATTTAAATACCTTCCATGAGGTGTTTGCCTACTCAAGACTTGACACACACCATTTCCTCTCTGGGATAGCTCTGATGGTAACTGAAGTTAACCTGAACTATGTCCCTGATTACTAGAGCCAGCGGGTGCTCTCTTATTGAGGGCATTAAGACTCAGAAATCTTCATTTTCTTCTACTTGTCTGTCCTTCACGTACTTAAAAATAGTTTTCATATTCTCACTGAGTTTTCTTTCCCCTAAGCTATAATTAACTTAGTTCCTTTAACAGTAGTTTTTCATAAGATATATATATTTTTTTCAGTTTGGGCTTAATTATAAAATAGTTGACTTTTTTGTTTTTTATTTTTTTACTTTAAGAACTTTTTTTTTTTTTTTTGAGGTTTTTGCTACAGGACATGTGTGCTCACCAGAGAGACAGAGAGAAACAGAAAGTGAGAAATCACCCCCAGGGGGATGGCCATGCCACAATCCCTTCTTCTCCATTCTCCTCTTGGGATCTTGGGCATGCACACACACACACACCCGGCATGGGTGCTACTGCTGTGCCACAGTGGTTGGGCCTTTATTTATTTTTTAATTGATACATAATATAAGAGAACTTCAAAAAGTTTGTGGAAAATGAAATTAAAATATTAAATTTATTGTGGTATAAACATTTTGATATCCTTGTATAGATTTTTTCATAATACATAATTCCATGAATTTTTTGAACACTCTTGTAATTGTATATTTATGTGGTTCGGTGTAATGTTTGAGTACAGGAATACAATGTAGAAGGATCAAATTAGGGTAACTAGTATATACATTCATCCTCAAACACTTATCGTTACTTTGTGTTAGGAACATTCAAAACTTTTTAGCAGTTCTGAGATATACAACAAATTATTTTGACTGTAGTTAATTTATTGTGCTATATAGAATGCTGTAACTTACTCTTCTTAGGTAGTTGGTTTTGAAATTGATGGCAGACTCTGTGACATTTTGACCTATATAATTTTTTAAAAAGAGATTGATTTGAAGGACCGGCCTTGTAACCTAGTGGTTAAGGGAGCTGGATCCCACATGGCCAACCTTGGTTTGAATCCCAGCTTTAGCAGCTTGAAAAAGCATAATGATCATGTGTGTGTGCACGCCCCAAATCCCGACAGGATGGAGAAATGGAGGAGAGTGTATTATAGTGTGATCATACCTCATTGGGAAGTACTTTTCTCCTCTGTCTGTCTGTCTGTCTGTCTCTGGTGAGTGCGTACTCCCTTTGGCGATTAAAATAAATTGACTTGGGAGATGTGTGAGCAAGGCACAAAGTTTAGTGGTAGGCAGATTGACTGGATGACAGCATTGGTATTTTTGAAACATCTCACTGATTTAGAATGAGTTCATGCTAACAAGGTACATTTTAATAGGGGTTCATTCATTCAGTAGGTGTGTGTGGATACATCCTGCCGCGACCTGCACAGCTAAATGCATTTTTTAGGGGGGTGGCTGAGGATTAGAAATAAACACACACAGACACAAAAGTAGAGAAAAGTGGGCGTCAAGTGGTCTAGACCCCTCTGATGGAGGAAGCTGTGGCTATGAGCTATTCCAAGGTTAATTTTTTAAAAAGAATGATTTCATTTATTATCATCATTATTATTTGTTTTAATTTGACCAGAGAGAGAGAGAAAGGGAAAGTAGGAAAACTAGACCCCAGGTCCGGGACTCACACTACAGTTGGCTATGTGGGAGTCTAGCACCTTAACCACCACACCAACTGCTGGCCCCTCAGGTTTTTTTTTTTTTTTTTAATAGGACAAAAAAAGGGAGAAGGGGAAGCGGAATATAAAGCTAGTTGGTTTTAGATGTTAATTGACTGAAGATCGCAAACCGCTGGCACCTTGCAGTCCTATACGAACTTTCTCTTATCTTCTTGGGCCTTCTCTGGCTAACACAGAGTTTCCTTTAACCAACTGCACCTTGCAGTGTTGACACAGAGGCAGAAAGCATATTTTTTGTTAAGAGCTTTTGCTAACCTTGCAGCATTAGCCAGTGTTTCTGCATGTATTTTAAGGTCACTATTGTGTTGCTCAGATCCGGCTGCTCTCTACGTCATGTATCTGCTGGGTACTGTACTGGGTATGGAGATAGAGCAGGAATCAAGACAGACATTTCTCTCCTCATTCTGTTTATAGCTTAGACGTGGCAAACAAGTAGCTAAAGGAAACAAAGGACCTACGGCAGGAAGGAACTTGGCATGGTTGGAAAGCAGAAATAAGGCCAGTGTGGCTGGAGCACAGGATGTAGGGAGAGAATTAAGACCATATAAGCTCCATTAGAACAAGGACTCCGTCCATCTCGGTCACCGTAGTGGTATTGAGAGCAGTGCCCAGCCCAGACAAAGTGTTCAGTAGCTAAGTACCGAATGAATGGTTCTTGGGAAGTTCAGTATTGGGTTAAAAAAGAAGAGTATAGATACACAAGAGGAGAAGCTGGGATCTGTTGATAGCAGCAGACTGTGTGGCAATAATTTTGGGGTCTTCAGGCTCAGCAGTGATCAGCAAAATGGTTGTTAGCCGATGCCATGCTGTCGCACGGATGCTTAGAAACTGCCGAGCTCTGACAGTGGTAGAGCTGTACATTTCATTACACTGAATATCACTGTTAGGAGACTGGCAGACTGGAAGAGAGGGTGCAGAATGATACATCTAGAAATCATGACACGACTGGCTGTATTTTGATAAAGCAGACCTTGAGTGGGAATCTGATAGCTATTTTTAGGCACTGAAGGACTATCCTTGGGAGAGTTATCAGACTTACTTTTATATTAAAAGCAGAGTTTAAAGACTGGAAATTAAAGGGAGAGTGTTTTTTGTTTTCTTACGTAGTAAAGGCCTTTGTAACAGCCCATCTAGAAGTGGAAGAGCCGCCTGCCAAGATGGCCCGCCTTCATCTGCGAGGCAGAGTGGGTAGTCCAGCGACGCTCCAAGTGTGGTCGGCAGGGCTGAGAGCTCTTAACAGTTTGTAGTGAGATCAGTACAGAAATCGGAGCAGTTAGAAACTGTCAGAACAATTACGTGTCACAGCATCCTTAGTGTATTCTATAAAATTATTCGTAATGTTTTGGAACGTAAACAAACAAAACTTACTTTACTACAAGCACGTAGCTGGATGGCCACATAGAATAATATCTCTCCCAGGGATATGCACTCACCAGATAACAACTTCTTTCCTGTCCAATCTGAGTTTCTGATTCACTCCCATTCCCCTAAACTTCTGTCTTTGGCAGTTTTCTTACCAACGTGACTGGGTCTCCTTGTAATGAGGAGAGGCGGGAGCCCCTGTATCTCTTTCCAGTTTACCATCCCATTATCTCCTCTTTTCTGCCTAAGTTTGCCTCTAATGGTTTCAATTCTAAACACACTCCAAAACTTCCTGTCAATCTTCTGACTTGCATTTTGGACACTGGTCTCTGAAGTTCTCAGTGGCCCTAGTGTGCGCACTTCAGTGGCTTCTGCTCACCCATTCTCTTGGTGTGCTTCTATCTTGCCTGTTTTTACTGGCCTTGTATCTCAGGCCCTGGTGGTTTCTCAGTTTTGGTGTTTTCTTTAAAAATGTGCGTTCTCTAACATTTTGTCCTTGAATCCTTTCTCTTCTGTTTCAGTGGGCATTGTCATCCATGCTCAGAGCTTTCCTTATCTCATTTTGTTGATCCCAGATCTGATCTATCTTCTTAACGCTGGAGTAGATTAAATCTTTTACCTGTGGTACCTAAAATTAATATGTCCTCATTTTAAAACTTTTCCTACCAAGATGACATGTGGATTTGGAACCTCAGATTGACATTTAGAAAGATCTTGTTGATAGCAGAGGGAAGATTATTTGAAGCAGTTTAGTCCTTAAGAGAATAGGTGAGAGAGCAGAAGTCCAGGTAAGACAATGAGTGATAACTTTGAATTAAGATGGTATTTAGTGGGCATGGCAAGGAGGGGAGACAGATGTGAGCAATGGCAGAGAGAATTACTTTGGGTAGATAAGGAGCAGGAGGAAGAGGGAAGGGTTTTGGGGTTTTGGATACCCCCCTACCCATGTTCTCCCTTTGGTGGGTGGCAGTGGTTTTTACTGAGGTAGGATATATATGAGGAGGAAAAAGAGGAACTATGTCAATGGAAAGATGACGAATTGTGTTCAGTGGGGAGTACGCTGAGTTTGAGGTGTTTCTGGGACATCTGGTATCCTCTGTATAGTATATACCAATGTAGTCATTTCTTCCTGAGGGCTGATCTATTCAGCAAGTGTTGGGTACCAGCTCTAGCCAGGTGACATTTTTGATTGTGTTACTCTTTATTTTTTAAAAGAATTATTTACTTTATTTATTTTAATTTGACCAGGGAGAGACACAGAGAGAGAGAAAAAAAGAGAGAAAGGGAGAAAACAAACCACTAGGTTTGGGACTCGAACCGTTGTCGGCCATGTGGGCGTGTCCGGCACCTTAGCTACCATACCACCTGCTGGTCCCCTTGATTGTGTTATTCTATAAACTCCTGACATATGCAGTTTCCAGAGAGATTCTGAGTTGTACCATGCCCTGGCTAAGAAGCTAGTCCAGTAGTCTCCTGTAACAAAGTCTTGCATTAGCGGTGCTTAACAGAAGTCATGCTTCTTGTTTTCAGCTTGCCCCAGATGACGCCTGGCGTTGCCCACACTGTAAGCAGCTGCAGCAGGGGAGTATTACGCTGAGTCTGTGGACCCTGCCAGATGTACTTATTATACATCTAAAGAGATTTCGACAGGTAAGGAAAACCCTCTCTCCTAGGGAAAAACAAGCCATGGCCAAGTTTCTTATGGCCCCTCCTGGTGGGGTTCTTTGGTGTTCCTGTTTGATCCAGTGATCATGTCTGTATGTGTTACAGACACACATATGCCTTTGAATTTGGGGTCATGTTTTGTTCTTTCCCAGAGCAAAACTTGTGTGTCTGGTGACCCTTAAAATTCTGTGTATATTTGATATTTTTCTTTGTTCTTGAGGGCTTGCTTTAGACTTGTAAATGTGCTTAAATTTTAGTATGTGTACTTTGAGATTAAAAATAAGTAGCAGTCCCTTCTGGGGGAGGTAGAATTCTATTTCTACCTAATGTAATAACGGGTGTTGTCCTGCTCCCAAGGAGCTGTTAATATAGTTAGGGAGATGAGTCATAAATATATACAAAGAAAATCTGCTTCGAATTATATTGTATTGTGAGTCAGGTTTTTCAAAATGTCTGTCTGTTCCCTGAGGTTAGGATTATCCTAGACAGCCCTATTGTAAGAGAGGTTAAAGGGAAGCCTGGCTTTAAGAACATTTGTATCTGAAGTAAGTCTGTGTTTTCCAGAGGAGGTGGAAGCAGGGGCATGCACACAGTGGCAGAGGGAGCAGTGTGTGCAGAGCCTGGTGCCTGAAGGAGCATAGCATGCAGGAAGCTGAGGGCAGGCTCGTTGGGCTGGCGCTCCATAGGGTGGGGCAGTAGAGTAGAGTTGAGGTGGTCCAGGTGGGTGGAGGCTGGTTGTCCAAGCAGACCCTTGTAGGCAGAGTATGATTTTGATGAGTTTAAGCAGAGCAGCAGCACCATGAAATTTGTATTTTGCGAAGATTGTTCTGTGGAGAACAGATGAGTGGCTATAAGATGACCTGAGGAAGCTGTTGTAGTCACCCAGGAGGACCTGCTAGTGGTAGGAATAGGATTGTGATGGATGGAGAGGTCTAAGTAGGTTCAAGAGACGCTTAGAACTTGCTGAGAAAAAGGAGGTGTCAAGGGTGATATACATGTGGTCCCCAGAGACAGGTTTTCATGCAGAGGTTCAGGGTTCAGTACCTGTGGTGGTGAAGAATGGGCATTTGCCTTGGATGTCCCAACTTTGTACTTCCCCTGGGCTCTGCAGTAGGAAGCTGGTTAAGGGTTTGGATTCCAGCCTCCTTTGTCACTTTCCCCCATGCAGACTAATCTCCTTTGCTTTCTGTTTCTTTTGAAGGCATATCATCACTCTTGCTGCAACTCCGACTCAAAATTACAGTGTCATCTTTGACTTTCTTTCTTGCCCCTTTCAGTAGGTAGTCCTTCTTCAGTTTGGTGTGGCTCTCCATTGACTCCTGTATGTGTCTCCTTCCTCCCCTTCTTGCTGTGCTCTGTCAGTTTCTACTTTTTGTTACTTTCCAGCTGGTTGCAGTTGCAGCCTTTTAATTGACATATATATATAAATAAATAAACTTTATTTATTTATTTAATTTGATGAGAGCGAGAGAGCGAGTGAGCGAGCAAGCTACCAGGTCTGGGACTCAAACCATGGTCGACCATGTGGGAGTCCAGCGCCCTTAACCACCATGCCACCTGCCGGCCCCTAATTGGTTTCTTAACCTCCATTACTCTTTCTTTTCTGACATACATTATGCACTGCTCACAAACAGTTCTTCACTCAACTCTGTGGACATTGCCTTCTCCTTCAAAGCCTTAACACCTCCACCTAACTGCAGAATAAGGTCCAGATTCTTCACCTTGGCCTGCCTGACCATCTAGGACTCATCATTCCTTCCTTTTATGAACATTCTCCCCTCCGTGGTTCCATAGCTTGTAAGGGTTGGGCATATCCATGCCTAGTTGATTTTTAAAAGTTCCTGTAGACACAAGGCACATGAAGGAAATATCCATTCAACTGATGGTTGGATCTCACAGGATTTCCTTAATAGACTTAATGGAAAATACAGGTTACCCAAGATTGCCGACTAAAAGAATATATTATGCTAAGTCAGTGTAATGTTTTACTATACTCATTGGAGGAAGTGGGAAGAGAAGGGACACCAGGTGTTGAAGGCTCTTCTCGGCCAGGCACTGTGGTTTGCTCTTCACTTAAGTATCACGCCATTAATTTTCATGTCCCTGTGACGGGTATCTGGGTGAATCACCTGACATTTTCATTGTTCTAAGTCAAAACCTAAAAACCCTTTAACAGATAAGTAAATGAAGACTTGGAGAGGCTTACTGTTTCACTTTTAGTGATATTAAAACCTGTTCCTTTACAGATAAAACTGTTTCCCTGTTTTGTGTGTGTCCTGGGAAACATCAGCTCGTTAAGTCAAACCACTTCAGCTGGTAGGGTCCACATTCCACGCTAAACTAATCTTCCATCTGCTTGCATTAAAATATCATCAGAACTTGTTTTTCTTCTTGCAACAGGAAGGAGACAGGCGTATGAAACTTCAGAACATGGTCAAGTTCCCCTTGACTGGCCTGGACATGACACCTCATGTGGTTAAGAGAAGCCAGAGCAGCTGGAGTTTGCCATCCCATTGGTCCCCATGGAGACGGCCCTATGGACTCGGGAGGGACCCTGAGGACTGCATCTATGACCTGTATGCTGTGTGCAATCATCATGGCACCATGCAAGGGGGGCACTACACAGGTCTGCAGCGCGAGAGGCCGCGTGTCTGTGCTGACCATGCCTTCAGACGGGTGTTGTTTGTGACAGGGCCACCTGGCACTGAGCAGTGCTTTCCAGTAGGCAGTACCTCATCTGCAAGGCAGTTTTCATCCTCTGGGTCTCTATCCAAGAGCAAATAAGTGGAAATCTTCCTCCTCTTCCTGAGTCAGTTCACCTGGTGGTTACTAGCATGATCGGGGAGCAGTGGGCACAGAGAGATAGCACTTGTCTGGTCAGCTGAGGATGGCCTCGTGTTTACCTAACTCGCACTCTAGGGTTTCACGCTACCTTCTTGAGGTTTTAGCTTCTTCCTCATTCGGAGGGATCGTGAACCACTTTTATGGTGTCTATAAAGTGACTTGGAAAGTTTTTTCTTTTGCTTTTTAGGTTAAGTTTTTTTTCTTAATTCCTTTTTTAAAGAATTATTTAATTTTTAGTTATTATCATTATTTTTAATTTGCTATAGGATATGTGCACTCACCAGAGAGAGAGAGAGAGAGAGAGACTAACTGTGAGAGAGAGAGACAGGTAAAGTGAGAAAGCAAGCTGCCCGATCCGGGACTCAGACTGCAGTTGGCCTTGTGGGGATCTAGCGCCTGAACCACAAAACCTCCTACTGGCCCCCACTTTTTTATTTCTAAAAGCAGTTGTGTTTATCAGTTAAAATTTAGAGATCAGAGAGAGGTGGAAGCAGAACACCCTTGTTCAGGCTTATCACTCAAACACAGCCATTGGTAACATTTAACAAAAGTGTGATAAAATATATATAATAAAATTTACTATTTTAACCATTTTTAAGTGTACTCTTCAGGGACATTAAGTACTGCCATTACTGTGCAGCCATCCTCTTTTCAGAACTTCTTTCATCCTCTCAAACTGAAATTCCGTGCCCGTTAAACACTAGTTCCCAGTCCTCCCTACCCCCAGACTCCTGGCAACCACTGTGCTTTTTGTCTGTAAGTTTGACCACTCTAGGTACCTCTTACAAGTGGAATCACACAGTGTTTGTTCTTTTGTGACTGGTTTGTTTCACTTAGTGTAATGTCTTTTAGGTTCATCCATGCTATAGCATGTGTCAAAATTTCCTTCTTTTTTTAAGACTGAATAATGCTCTATTGCGTATAAGTCACGTTTTGACGTGTGGGATGTACTTCCAGTGTTTTTCTGTTATGCTTTTGCCATTATTTTATACTGTTGTGCTTATACCTGTATGTTCTGTTCAGGTAAACATTTATTGAGCACCTTGTCTAGCTTGTACTGGGCTCTGTCATACCAGAGATGAACAGATTCCAATGTTTATTTTCCAGGAGTACAATAAAGTAAGGAGTAGGAAGGCGTACGTACAAATACGATTTGAAAAGAGCGACAGTGTTCACTAGGTTCTGTGGTAGAGATGTGGATAGCGGGTAGAAGCAGAGGTCAGAGGAGAGGGTGGTCAGTGTGTGCCGTGGTGATAGAAGCCCTGGGGATCAGGGACCTGTTGCCTGTACTTAGCACTTTATGGGCTGAGTGGAAGATGGTCACAGTTTCAGAATTAGAATCACAGCAAGGATTAGCACGTGTTTCTGCATCTTGATCTTCACACTTAGTATTGTAACAAATATTTCGACGTTGACACTTTTTTGGGGGCAGGCTATAGGACATATGTACTTGTGGGAGAGACAGGGAGAGAGAGAGAATGAGAAGGCAACCTTAGGGGATATGACCATGGCAACATCCCTTCTCAACTCTCCTCTTGGGATTCTGGGCATGCACACACTTGCATCTGATGTGGTGTTTTCAAGCCACTGGAACTCAAACCACGCAGTCAGCCATATTGGATCCAGCTGCCTTAACCACCACACCACCTGGCTGGCCCTACACTTAATTTTTATAAACGTTATTTTTAAAGACCACAGAAAATTCTGTGGATAGACCTCTAATGCGATATAACCATTCCCCATTGCTGAGCATTTTTGTTGTTTCTGGTTTTTAACTTTCAAAATAATACCAATAAAGATCTCTGTGTATATTTACTTTTTCTGGACTACAATTCTGTATTTTCTTGAGATTGCTCCTCAGAAGTGGAATTATTAGGTTAAGGGCATGCATGAGCCTTTTGGAGGCCAGACAGATTTTAGGGCTTCCTGTTTGGACGTCTGTGTAGGTGAAGGTTCATGTGAGGTGATAACTATAAATTTGACTATCTGTATGGGTGTCCAGGACTTGGCTTTCTGTATCCTTCACACACAACGCATTTTATACATACACTTCTCAGAGACTTGATTGCTTCATAATTCAGTGGCTTTTGCAGCAAGATCCTAGAATGCTAGTTGCTGACCCATTGGTTTATGAAGATAGAGGGAAGTGAAGGAGGCCAGCTGGCACGAATCCCCTGCCCAGCAAGGTAAAGGAGTCTGTTGGCCTTCCCAGCTCTCACTTACTCACTGCTTCAGCCTGCCCTTTTCTCTCTCAGGAGGAGAGAGGTTCAGGGAAGATGAGTGGGTACAATCATCTTCAATTTTTGAAAACCTTTTTAGTTCAAGTTCTTTAAATATTTAGCTGCTGCAGGCAGCAAGTGTTTGTGAGAAGTCTGATCCCAGCTTTGAGTGTGTCTGGTAACGGAATGGCTTGGATTGCCTCTGCTTGCCCTAGGAAACACTTTCAAGGAGAAAAAGAATGTGGAGAATTCAAAAGATGCTCCAGTATCATAGAAGACAAAAGTTAACTTAAGTGTTACATTATAACATTGTGTCGGTTGTCTTACATGTTTGTATTTATATTTTATGAGGGCCACTTGTATAAGTGTTGTATCTGTTTGAGTTTTTGCCAGTAGGGCATTACTAATCATGTCTGTGTTTTTGATTCTGATCATGGCATTAGTTCCTCATGAGCCTTTTAGGATGGAAAGGGACTGAGAAGCAATTTAATTTCACTACCTGGTGTATTAATAGCAATACTTCCCAGCAGCCCTGATTGGTGTTCATCTAGCTTCAGTTTTGGTAAAGGCAAACTGCTTCTAAGGAAACTATGGGCTCACTTGTTAGGTGGTTTCTAGCAAGAAGCTATTGAGAAAAATAGGATGGTGCTAGATTTCTAGTGTATCATATTGCACTTTATATATAAAACAGACTTTGGAAAATTCCTGAAAGCCCTCATCCATCTACCCTGGAGGCAGTACAGTTTAGTGAAAGAAGCTTGGGTTAGAAGCTAGACACTTCTTCCTAACTAGGTGACCTTAAGTAAGTAATTCTAACTTGGCTACCACATCAGTGATTCAGAGTGATCATGCCTGTTTCACAGGACTCACTACCTATGAGGTACCCAGTTCTTTTCTGTTTTATTTCATCTTTCCCATGCTTAAGCCATACTGCTGCTTTTCTGGTACGTGAAATATTTGGAGTTCTGTTTAAAGAACATTTTAAATACGGTCAGCATTGTTGAATTGAAGACACTCTGTTTTTAAGTTTTCATTTGGAATGTTTGTTTTGATGTATTCTTCATTTTGCATTAAATCTAGCTGTAATTATGTGGCATGTGTATGGCTAACTCGTATAAGGATTCTAGAACAGTGGCTCTCAAACCATCTGTGATGAACAACTTGTTTCTATTTAAAAATTTCCAGTCCTTAATGAACCAATTGTAAAAACACAATAAAAATATCACAGCAGTGCCGGATTGCTATAAAAGTTGTTAAATGCTTATCTGTGTTTTGGTGCCCTTCTTGTTGTGGCTCCAGTCTGTGAGCCACAATTTGAGTACCACTGGCCTAGAAAGCAATGCTTCCTGAAGAAGAGCAAGTGGAATTATTTTGTAAATACATTGTTTACCCGTGAATGAGTTTTTGTGCTGCCTCAGTTCCCACTCCGTGACTGACAGCAGTCCATCTGAAGAGAAACAGACTGAAACCAGTGCAGAATTAGTCTGTCACTTCTCTTTGTCATGTTCAGCCTTTATAGTTCTATAGTTAACTTTCCAGTCCAAAATAATGGCCACTGTACCATCTGGGTCATTAAACATCAAGCCTAACCGGACGCCATTGGCTCATGTTGCTGTTTTTATAGCTCCATTTGTCCTTTGCATATTTATTGTCTCTCCCTGTCTGGTGTCAGTGTGTCCTCAGCTGCAAATGACTCCCCTCCCTATATTTGTAGATTCTTCCTCTGCTCTTCCTTGTGTGGGCACCTGTCTGGTGTAGCCCTTCCTTGCTTGGGTCATTTTTATCTCTTATGGGTCCCTACTTGGGAAGTGGTCATGGCCTATTGAGAGAGTCAGTCCTGGTGCCACCCAGGACCTTATATACTCTGCTCCTGGGACCGTCCTGAGTCTGTTGGCAGCTTTCAGCTAAATATTTTAGTACTTATTCTCACCTCAGTAAGGGGTATTTTTAGAAAATGTGATAATACAACTTTCTGGATCAAGTTTATAACTCCCCTTGTAGGATGTCTGTTCTTGCTGGTGCTCAAATGATGTCTGGCTCAGGCTTAGAATTTGAAATGGAGAGAAGGTCTCATGTGACTCTCAAATGTTGACTCTCAAGTTGCACTCACATGGTCTCAATTTGTTGAGGAGCTTCCAAGGAGCATTGTTTGTGTTACCTGCTGAGGGAAACAAGGTAGGACAGGGATTTAAGTGCAAGCTCAAGGACTAGATAAACCTGAAGTGAGCTGGGCTCTGCCTTTCAACAGCTGCATGACTGTAGGCAAGCTGGTTAATCTTTTTGAGCCTCTGTAAATTGGGAAGAATAACAGAACTAATCTCAGGATTAAATGAGATACTTGGCACATATATGCTAAACAAATAGTAACTACTGCCGTTATTAATACTATTATTTCTATTCATATTATTTTCTGTTTTTAATAAACACTGAAATACTACAACATGCTTACGTCAGGGTTTCGTAAAGCTGATACTGTTAAGATTTAGGCTAGGTAATTTTGTCTGCAATCCTGTAGGATGTTTAGTAGTGTCCCTGGCCTCGGCCCACTAGATGCCAGTAACACACTAGCACTACCCTCTCAAGTTGAGATCATCAAAAATGTCTTCCTTCATTGCCACATGTTGCCTACAGGGAAAAAATTATCCTTGATTGAAACCCAGTGGTTTAAATACATGAGAATATTGTGTTTTCTAAGATGAAAATAAAAAATAACTACATCTATTTAGAATAGTTGCGAATGTCTCAAAAATTTGCTTGAATGTGGTATGGAATTGGATTTTTTTTTAAACCTCTCTATTACTGCATGCAGCCTTACGTTTTTGAATTAATTATATGAACCAAAGAGATGATGTCTGTGGGTAAATGAAACTGTTAATAGTATTCACCCTGCCTTCGTACTCATGATGGGCTTTTTTTTGGGCAGCATACTGTAAGAACTCTGTGGATGGTCTCTGGTATTGCTTCGATGACAGCGATGTGCAGCAGCTGTCCGAAGAGGAGGTCTGCACACAGACAGCCTACATACTTTTCTACCAGAGGCGGACAGCTATACCATCATGGTCGGCTAACAGCTCAGTGGCAGGTAAGGCCAACCCTGGTTTCAGGCAGTATTTTCCAGAGTAAAAGACTGTAATTCATGATCCAGACAGCCTCTCTCCATGACTGTGAGTTTGATCAGATTAATTCTCACATTTCTTATTTAATCTGGAAACCAAAATGATTGCAGTTAAGGAAGTGGGGACAGGGAGGTCGAATGTGAGAGCAGCTGTGAACCAGCAGAGTTGATGTAAAGGGGAAAGTAGAGCCTGGCCCAGAGTGAGTTCATGATGTTTACTCATGTGATAAGTGCTGGGATGAGCTGGATACCCTTTTGTTGGTTTATCTTGGAGCATGTCCCATCTGGGCCACATCTTTACCATCTATAAAATAGGTGTAATAATAATACTTAACCTTGTGGAGTCCTTCCATGCATCAGGTTTGGTAGATGCATGTTAAAACATTTTGTAAAGGTTAAAGTACCATTAGAAATAGTTCTCCTTTCTAGTGAGAAGATTGGCCTATTCTGTTAGGGGAAGGATTGACAGCTATAATAATATTAAATGGCTCAGGTTTAGCCTGATGGGATCTTGCCTGTCATGTTAAATAAATGCAGGAACCATTATCCACACATGATATGGGTGCAGATGCACATAATCCATACAGAGGATACCTGCTCCTTAATGTAAAGTTTGACTTTAAGAGAATATGACAGAAGACTGAAACATGGTAATAAGTGATGGGGTTAGGGAGTATCAATGCCTGCTCATTTCGAAGCTTGCAAGAGGTAAGTTCGAAGCAGCTAAAAGGAAGCATTGCTCAGACAGAGTAACTCTTCCTCAACTCAGTTTGTAGCTACTCACTCAACACAGGTGGGCACTCCAGTGCTCTTAGGTCTTCTCTCAACGCTTCCTCAAGTTGGAGGTAGGCCCAGAAATGACACCCTTTGATGTCTGAGACTGTTGTGCTGCTTTATATAGACAATGTCAAGAGAGTTTCTTTAGCTTTAGTTTAGATTTAAGGGGACTCTGGAGCTGACATGCAGCAGCAGATTGACATGTAGCTCTGTGTGTGTGTGTTTCTGTATTATTAATATTGAAAATGTTTAAAAATTTCCACGAGACAGTGGTTTTCTTTCTTTTTTGTCAGAGTTAATACTGTAAGTGCTTAAGACAGTATCTGGCACATAGTGAGTACTGAATATTTGTAGACTGAATGAATGAATGTCTGTATTCCATTCTCTTACCATCTTTTCAGATTCAGACTTGTAATATCAAGTGTGCATCTCTACTTTTGTATTTTATTACTACAAACATCTTTTCATCTTAACTGGGGGTGTCTAGGCAGGCAAAGCCTGGGGCCTAGAAGTTAACCTCAGGTAAGGACCTCCATTAGCTCCAGCTTAGCTCACAGTACTTCCTGTGAACGTGTAGGGTGTGTGTGAGTTACAGGCCGTGCGACCCTGCCCTGATCCCAGTGCCCATTTCTTTTCTGCAGGCTCCACAAGTTCTTCCTTGTGTGAACACTGGGTGAGCCGACTCCCGGGGAGTAAGCAAGCCAGCGTGACCTCTGCAGCCTCCTCCAGACGCACTTCCCTGGCCTCACTCTCTGAGTCCGTGGAGATGACTGGGGAAAGGAGCGAAGATGACGGTGGGTATGGGTTTTGGTTTCCAAAATGGCAACTCAGACACAGCGCAAGGTCCCTCAGGTTTACAAACTAAGTGCCAAGGAGACTATGGAACAACTTCGAGGGAGTTACAGAGGAGAGGCTGTGCTGCTTCAGGTTCCTCTCAGAGAGGAAACATTTTATGTAAACATAGCTGTTAGCTTTTCCTTTGTGACCCAAGACATTCCTTCCCACTTTATTATTTTCTAGTTTTAAGATCTAATGTAGAGGATGGAGCTTTAACTCTACAAAATAATGTATACATTTTTTTCTTAGTGCTTTTTAAAATTTCCAGGTAGCTGTAAGGTGTCAGAAAGCCTGTGGTTTGCCCCAAGTCAGCTGCGAGGAGTCACTGTCCTGGGCCTGGCCTAGAGGCCCTTGAGTCTCAGCTCCAGGAGCTGCTCTCTACTACCTTGCTGCTGCCCACAAAGGAAGTTGTGATGTGCTCTTTTTGGTACAGAAGCATGTAGAACAAAAACTATTGCCTTTGCAGAGAGGTGGTTGTTAAGAATTCTGAAGATAGTCACTATATAAAAACTGGGAAAATCTGATTAAACTCTAACTCTGACTTTTTTTTTTTTTTTAATGCTTTCACTTACAGCTTGAGTAATGGCAGGATAGACCTTAATGCTAACTAGGACCCCAGGTGATGTGGGAAGGATCAGGCAGCCAAAGTACTGAGAGCTGGAAAGAGTAGAGAGTGACCTCAGCTTCTATAATGAGGACAGTGACTCATCTTCCAACAAGTCTTGCTCTGTGGCCAGCATTTCGATCGCTGTAATCTGCTTCTAGTGGTGATGGATAATTCTGAGAAAATGAAATGGAACTGAAATTACAGGGGGCTGGAAGCAGAATGCCAGCTAGGAGAGCTGCACTGTAGCCTTGGCACTGGCACCTCTCTGGCTTGCTGCTTCTTTATTTGTAAACTAAGATTGTTGGACTGTATTTGCTAAAGCTCCTGCTAGCTTCTCACATCTTATAGGAAACTAACTAGTGAACCTTTGTTTCTTTAGGTAGAGGTTATTTTCCAAGCTGTTTTTAAGCTCAGAATTTACTTCATTTTAACCATAAACCTACCTTTGATTTGCCCCAGTCTATTTTTAAATGGTATAGTTGGTGAGATCAGTATCACCAATTTGTTTCTTCATTTTTGCTGTAGAATGTATGCATTCCTTGGAGACAGAGGCAGTGAGAGGGAAAGTGAGCAATCACCCCTACGGGGGGAATGCCATGCTGCTATACCTTCTCCTCCTGTTATTTAGGACATGCATGCATGTGCCCCTGGTGTGATTTTCAAGTCTCCAAGTCCAGGACTCAAACTGTGGTCAGCCACATGGGACCGGTGTCTTAACCACCATGCCACCTGCTGGCCCTCAACATCCTTCTCCTTTTTTATTTTTTTAAAGAGAGATTTTTTGCTATAGGACACATGCGCTTGCCAGGAGACTGAAAGTGAGAAATCACCCTCCGGGGGGAATGGCCACACCACAATCCATTCTCCTCTCAGGATTTTGGGCACATATGCCCACACACCTAGCATGAGTTTCAAGCTGCTGGGTCTGTGATTTGAACTGTGGTCGGCCATGTGGGAGTTCAGTGACATAACCTTTACTCCATCTGCTGGTCCCAACCCTCATATCCTCTTATACATTATCATTCTGCCATGGTGTTGGGTAGTACCTACAGAACAGTATGCTTGCTTTGTTTTTTTGTGGATATAGCAAAGCAGAGAGTTTATGGAGGAGAGGGAAGGAAAGGAAGAAGGGAGGGGTTCTGGAAAATGGTTGTGGAGGAAGAATTGAGAGGAGTTTCTATGTTGGTCTAGTTATTTTTCTCCTAATTTTGGAGTGGATATGAAGGTCAGGAGATTCTTTGGGCCGTAAAAACCATTATCTTATCTTTTTCCTGGTATGTGGTGGGGCGGGGGGGGGCACCTTTCTTTTACTTCTAGGTCATGTTGCCTGGGTCAGTCACTGCTGCAAGCTGTCTCTTCTGAGCAAACAGCTGAGCTGCTTTGTCTCCATCTTAAAACTAACTAATTTCGTGATTCCATTATAGACCTTACTATGGTTGGCTTGGTGTGAGTCCAGAGCCATAACCACCATGCTACCTGCTGGACCCGCTTTGGAAGCTTTAAGTCACTCTGGTTAGGAGTGTGTTGTGTCCAATTCTCTCTAGTTCTTTCTGTTGATTTACTTTTATAGTCAGCAGTTACAGGCCAGCTTACATATGGTATTGAGTTAGGGTCAGATGGTTATAGGTTCCGATATTAGCTCTGCCTCTAATTATTTTTGTGATGTTGGTCAAGGACTTGGCTTCTGTGAGCCTGGATGTTTTTCAGTAAGATGCTCTTATTTAGTGAGCATCTGTGGAGAGCCAGATGCCTAGTGGGCACAGGACTTTCAAGATTTGATTCAATTTTCACAGTAACCCTGAGTTAGACCAGCAGTCAGTAACTGCAGCCCACAGACCAAATGTGCCCCACTGCCTTTTTGTGTTAATACAGTGTTTTTGTTAACACAGCCATGCCTATCTGGTTACATGTTGCCTATGGCTGGTTTTTTCCTACAGTGGCAGAGTTGACTGCTGGCCTACGGAGTCTAACAGATCTACTCTCTGGACCTCATATGGAAAGGAAGCCAAATGCAAATGCAGTTGGAAAAAGCAGCTTGTCTCCAAGGACCCTGCTTCTGCTAAACATTTGTTGTTGTCCACTTGTAGATCCAAATCTTCCCAGCTAGATTCTGGAGTTCCCCTATCTCCTAGTGCCAGGCAGTCTGCTGAGAAATCCTCCCCTGACATACAGCAAGAAGATGAAGAGAATAGCTTGCCAATCCCGAATTAGAATGTCTCTAATTTATAGATAAGGGAACTGGGCTAAGAAAAGTTGAAGTCACATAGCTACTTGGCCCCAGGCGGACTGGCTCTGAAGGTCATGCTCCTGTTATTCCTCCAGGCTTGCCTTCATTTCATCTTCGGTGCCCTAAGATGTTAGCTGGATGTTTTTGTTGGTTTAGTTTAACAATATTCTCTTTGCTGTTTTCAGGAGGCTTCTCAACTCGACCATTTGTAAGAAGCGTCCAGCGCCAGAGTTTGTCATCCAGATCTTCTGTCACCAGCCCCTTGGCCGTCAACGAAAATTGTATGAGACCTTCTTGGTCCCTGTCTGCTAAGCTTCAGATGCGCTCCAATTCTCCTTCCCGATTCTCAGGGGACTCTCCAATTCACAGCTCTGCCTCCACCTTGGAGAAGATCGGGGAGGCCGTGGATGACAAGGTCTCCATCTCTTGCTTTGGTAGCCTGAGGAACCTGTCTAGCAGTTACCAGGAACCAAGTGATAGTCACAGTCGACGTGAGCACAAAGCAGTGGGTCGGGCCCCTCTGGCTGTCATGGAAGGTGTGTTCAAAGAAGAACCAGACACTCGCAAATCGAACCCCGGTGTTGTAGAGACACAGAGCAAAAGCTCAGCACAAGGGGATCGCTTGCCGCCTGTCTCTGATCCATTTGATAACAATAACCAGATTGCATATGTGGATCAGAGTGATTCTGTAGACAGCTCTCCAGTCAAAGAGGTGAAACCCCCTAGCCACCCAGGCTCACTCTCCAAGAAACCAGAGAGCACAACCAAGAGATCCCCCAACTCCAAAAGCGCTTCTGAGCCAGATAAAAGCTTGCGGAAAGGGAGACCAGCCTTGGCAAGTCAGGAATCATCTCTTTCAAGTACATCTCCTTCTTCTCCTGTTCCTGTAAAAGTTTCCCTAAAGCCCTCCCGCTCCCGAAGCAAAGCAGATTCTTCTTCTAGGGTCAGTGGACGGCATTCATCCCCTGCCTCTGTCCAACCCAAAAAGGACTCATCTCCCAAATCCCAGGACTCTGTGTCATCCCCTTCTCCACAGAAGCAGAAGTCTGCCTCTGCCCTCGCTTATACTGCTTCATCTACATCTGCCAAAAAAGCCTCGGGCCCTACCACGAGGGGCCCCTTCCCTCCTGGGAAGGGGAGGACTTCAGACAGGAGCTTAAGTAGAGAGGGTTCCAGACAAAGCCTAGGTTCGGACAGAGCCAGCATCACTTCCACCTCCAAACCCAACTCCCCTCGGGTGAGTCAGACCAGAGCGGTGGAAGGCCGAGGGGATGGGAAGCATGTTAGGAGCTCCTCCATGGCCAGCCTGCGCTCACCCAGCACGAGCATCAAGTCTGGCCTGAAGAGGGACAGCAAGTCTGAGGACAAGGGTCTGTCCTTCTTCAAATCAGCCTTGAGACAGAAGGAAACGCGGCGGTCGACTGATCTTGGCAAGACAACCCTGCTCTCTAAAAAGGCTGGTGGAAGCTCTGTTAAGTCAGTCTCTAAGAGTTCCGTGGATGACAAGGCAGAGAAAGGCCACCAGCCTCCAGGTTCCCAGCAGCCAAATGCAAATGCAGTTGGAAAAGAGCAGCTTGTCTCCAAGGACCCTGCTTCTGCTAAACATTCGTTGTTGTCCACTCGCAAATCCAAGTCTTCCCAGCTAGATTCTGGAGTTCCCGCATCTCCTAGTGCCAGGCAGTCTGCTGAGAAATCCTCAAAAAAGTTATCTTCTAGCATGCAAAGCTCTGCACGGCCTTCTCAAAAACCTCAGTGATACTTCTGCAATCCAAGTGTTTTGTCTGTAAAGATGTTTATTTATTTAGAACCCCTCCTCTCCCACCAAAGCCCCCCTATGCTTTTGTTTTGTATTTTATTTGGGTCATGTGCCTGGTGTGTGCCTGGTGTGTGTGTGTGTGTGTGTGTGTGTGTGTGTATGAGGAGAATTCAATTGCAAATTGTTAAAAGCGTCGCCTTATTCTGCCATTGAACCAAATAACAGCCATAGGCAAAACATTGATACCAAGTTAACTGGAATAATTATAGATGATACCCTGGATGGTCCCTTTAGCAATTGTACATATTTCATTCTTGAGAACTCTAATGACTTTGGTTGGACACTAGGGTTTTAAACCTGTGACCCAGTTAAGCTATCATTAGTGTGTAGAAGGATGAATTCTTTGAATTGGGTTTCAGCTGAGCGGGATTAGTCCTCACCATGGATTGTTAGATGGCACCAGGAACTCTGAAAACTGTGACACTAACAGTGACACAAATTGAGGGAAAAACTGTTGCTTTCTGCACTTTGGCCCCATCTACCAGTCTTCGTAAAGGGCAATATTTTAAAACTCATGTTTCTCAGGTATATACTCAGCTAGTCTAGGTTGGATGTGCATTCGTAAAATGGATTAACGAGGAAGGTGACATGGGGGTGACTGTGTTATTTCTCCTACTGCCACAGATGGAAGTTTTTAAGGTAGAAATGAAGTCTTTTACTACCTTTCTATCTGCAGAGATGTGTGTACCTAACCTGTCTTGACTCTGGGATATGTCCTAAAAGGTAGCAAATTGGATCGTCAGAAAGCAAGTCACTAGTAGTTAAAGGTTTTTCCTTCTAAATTTGCTAGCTAAGGCCATTGGGATTTTGAGCTGTAGTAGAGCAGTTAACACCTTTGACAGATTCCTGGGGGGGGGGGATGGATTCTAAACTAGATGCATGACTCTCTCTGATTTTCCTTCTCTGGCACTGCATTTTTCTGTTGGTTGAAAGCTCCATACTGCACTGTGTCTGCCTGCTCTGGTTTCCTCATCTTGTAACTTACGAGGAGAAAGGTGGCCTACTGCCAAGAGTCAGAGAGTGCATTGAAGCCGTGTGTGACACGGTATTATGTATGCACTTCGGTCCTGCCTGTCAGGCTCAGTTATGACTGCTTTGCTGTAACTCATTTATTTCTCTTTTGTGCTTTAAGATTTAATTTCATACCCAGAACTCATAAGCAGGAGAAAGTTCCATCTGGCAGTGTCAATGCAAATTGCATTGCTTATTCAGAAAAAGGGGAACCTCACATAACTCAGTTGTTCAAGCTTTTTTGGAGATCTCTTGGCAATATTTTCCTGCTCAATTTTTAGCTTTTTAAAAAAATTTTTATTTGAAAAAATATCAAGAGAGTCATGGTCTTAGTTCTCCTTAACGTGTCACTTTACCATGAAACACAGCACACTAGGTTTATGTACTGTTAAGTATTAACTTTGTTTTGTTTTGGCCATAGATGCTCCAAATTCTTCCTGAAATCTTGGTGCACAGATCAGTTTATAGTCTCCTCTTTCAGTATTGCTGTGTATGAAGTAACTACAACACACATGTATGCTAGCTATGCATTCCGCACTGCCTTGTTGTATGTTTTCCCCATGGATGCCTCTTGGGAAATGTTTCCACTGGGTAATTTTTTGTTTGTTTGTTTGTTTGCTGCTAACTTGAGCACTAGCCGGTAACGTGCAAGTCTGAGGCCATTTTTGTCAAGGGTAGCTGGAATTTTCAATATTCCAAAATTTGCAATATTTAAGACTTACATATTCAGCCTTGTGAAAGTGACCTCAGTGCTCCTTGTACTTCAGCGAACACGAGCCTGTTGTCCATCGCACTCAGTCCTGTGCTTCCCTCTTCGCTAGGTCTTTGTTTTCCTGCACAGACTTCAGTAAATCGTAAAGCCACTTCCTCTCCTCTGTGGTGTATCACTGCAGGTGACCAGCTGTCTTCCATCTTACCCTTGCTTCCAATGGCACGTGGACAGCGCGATCAGTGTTCAGCCACCCTCCTGGTTTTCTTGGATTGTTTTTACTTCCTAAAAAAGATGCACCAAAAGTGAGATTGTCAATGTCAGGAATTGAATATTTGTGAATATTTGTCTAATTTGAATATCTTGCCTTTGTTCAGTAGGTAGATCTTTTTTGATATCTGTCTGAAGCTCTGAAACAGTTTAGGATAGTTTGATTAGACATTGGACTTTAATTTTTTTTTTTGGCTATACTCAGTTAAACAAGAATAGAACATTAAACATTAAATTTCACAGTGGTAAATATTTTTTATTCTTGAGGCTTCTAGGGATGGATTTTACATTATGTCCAGTGTCTTAAAAAAAAAAAAAAAAGACCCTTCAGATACCCTTAATTTTCCATGGGATCTAGAAATAAAATTTCAGTATCTATAAACTTTATGTCCACGGAGTTTAGTCCTTGTTTCAGATTTAATTAAATAGAAAAAAAAAATCAGGAAGTGTTAAAGTGTTGTCTGAGCATCTTTAAACTATTGTATTTCCATGGCCAGGAAACTGAAAATTACATTACATCTAACTACTAGATAGGAGGATAGGACTATAAGCCACAGAAAAGGATATTTTACCTAAAACTTTGGAGGTGCTCTTTGAAGTGTCAGGTGTCTTTTAGGAAAATTGTTACTTGGTTCAATTCAGTTATTTGGTAAGATTATGGACTAGGTGTTTTAAATATTTTCATTGTCCCAGTAATATTTGGTACAATGAACCTGTATGTTCTTTGGGGTTATAAAAAATTGCTAAGAATGGTAGACCTGGATTTTTTTTTTTTTGACAACCAGGTGGGCTTGATTAGTCATTTCCTGGTAGGTACAAAATAATCACCAACAGTAGTGTTGCATCTGTAATATTTCTTTGCTTAAAAAAAGTTTTATTTTTGATTTCTTTTACTGTAAATGTCCAGTGCACTGTGGTTGTATCATTCCTTAGGACAGCCTGCCCCCTCCTCAGCCTGCCCCCCCTTTGGAACCCCTCGATAATGCGGAAGCACAAAGAAACCAGTACACTCCTATCATTTTAGAGCAATTTCTACCCCTTTTGTATTTTTTCATCTTAGAAGCAGCCTAACTAAAATTAATTAATAATATATTGGACCAATAGAAATGGATGTGGGAGTTATTTGTGGCATGGTAAAATATTGTGAATAACTGCGAGGCTGCCTTAAATTCTTTTGAAATCATTTTTCATCCTCTGTTCATTCTGCAAACGTTCATTGAGGGCCTGCTTTGTTTATAAATGCAAGGTGAAAGCTTCAGGAATTTGCCGTAGCTGAGGAGCCCTGGGAGCACAGCCGATCAAATGGGAATGCTGATGGTGGCGTAAGTGGAATAACCGTCCTCCCGAACAAAAAGATCACGTGGCTCCTGGTCAGTCGGCTGAGGTGTGTGGTTCCTCTGGAGCAAGTCTGTTCTGTCTGGAAACCAAAAATGCCCTTCATCTTTGGAGACATTTTACTCTCTCATCTACTTTGTCAGCGGAGCTGTCTCTACTGTTCAGGGGTTCAAAGTCCATTACAGTCACTTTCCATTAGAATTTGGTCATCTATGTTTGTATGAGATGATGTGGGGATTGTTTTTTGGGTGGGGGGACAGCGAAAATTGTCATCTCTCTAAGATAACTGTCATGAAAAAAATAGGGAACAGTATGTAAAGGGAACAATAGTGGCAGCCTATAGGGAAAATGAGGCAGAGAAGAGCTAGGAACAAAGCTCATTATTTCAAATAAACGTGTTTTTAAAAGTAGACGGACATCTGATGTTACATTTTATTCTGACAAATGACCGAACAGCCGAAGTTATCATTTCCTCTGTAGGTAATTGTAATTATTGGATACAGAGATAATTAGTGTTTCTGGGTTAGATTTTTGAGACAGAATGCAAACCGTAAGCACAGTTTGAATAAAACACTTATTCTGGAGGTGCATTGAACTTTTTGTTACTTGGAATTGAGAAGGGCAAAATTTGCTGACAAACCGGTGCCTATCATAAGCAAAAAGCTGTTACTGTGCGGGCTGTTTTTGTCTTCGACTTCATAAGGGGTACATTATTAAACCTGACTACATATGTGACGGGAAATCCAGTACTTTTATTTAAGTGAATACTCAGTATTTCACACTGCCTATTGATCAACTCTTAACGTTTTTGATTTTGCAGCTGCATTTGACCATAACCAGTCATTTTTTTTCTCCCAAACAATGAAAACAGTTTTGCATGGCCTCCATCTAACCCAGAAAGCATGCTCTGATTACCTATGCAAGCAACCAATAAAAAATGTAGACTACACTCAATGTTAAGTTAAACAAAAGTCCACTGTTAGATCGTGGAGCTCTATTTTTGAATTTGTAATTTTTAAAATGTGGCTTAATCATCAATATAGAAGAGCATGAATGTGATTTGTTTTACTTTGCATATATTTTGCCGGTTTTTAAATTATTGGCAAGATTGTATGTAAAATAAGTATTTTGCAGGAGTGCAATTGGATATGTTGAACACACATTGGTGTATATATTGTATTTAGCTGGAAGACTTTCCTAAAATATTTTGTTCTAAAAATAACCTGCCATTTTCTATAGATTTTAATTTTTTATACCTTCTAGGGTTCTATCGTGGTCACAAGGAAAGACTGTGGCTTCAAACAGTGTTAACAATTTAAACATGCTTTTGTAGCAACTTAGTGATGTTTTGGAAAGCTTTGAAGCATCCCAACCACTGGTCACTATAAGACAAGCCTGTGGAACTTAAGGTATTTACAGTGTGCTAGGTTCTAGATCCATCTCATGTTCATTTAAAACCATTGTTTCCCAATTTGGGGGAATGTGGAGGGGGTGCATAGCAAACTTGAGAGGCTTTTTCAAGTTTCACACTTACTGTCTCCCCCAAAATTCTGTTAAGCCTCTCCCAAATGACTTGTCTGAGATCATAGTTGTTCACTAGAATTATCTAGGGAAACTTAAAAAATCCAGTGCCTGGGCCTCACTCCCAAGCTTTAATCTCATTAGTGTAGGGGGCAGGCCCTAAGAATTACCATCTATTGTAAAGCCCCTGGGTCGTCTTGCAGTCAGAATTGGGATGCATGTGATAGGCCATCCCTTTGCTGAGCATTATGGCAAGAGTCACTGCCATATGAACTCAGGAGTGAGTTGGATTCCTCAGTTATGGAGAGACTAGAGAGAGAACTGCTGATGGCAACCTCTGTTTGAAATGTGGGGGCCTTTCTGATCCAAGGCCTGATGTGTGAGCTTGGGGAATTTCGTGGGTGGCCTAGCACTTGCCAGTCTGGTGAGACTTGGGGGTCTTAGTGGTTAGACCATAGCCTACCTTGGAGTTTGTATCCTTCCTCAGAGCCTTTTCCCCAGATTCGGTGGCAGGTTGAGACCCTTGGGGGGAGTAGGGAAGTTGCTCTGAGTTAGAAAATATAAAAGAAGAAAATAGAAAACTTTTCTAGTCTTGGAAAATCTGTCCCTGCTTTTAATAGAACGATTGCCTTTTTGTAGTAATTATAATAAAAGAGCACATTCTCTACTATGGTTCTTATCCAGAATGTAGTTTCAGGAATTCCTTTTAGTTTGAAAATGAATGTGAAACAAAATTTTGTTTGCAGTCTTTTTTGGGGTGGGTGGGGGGAGGCGGGGATAGCCATCATTGCTTTTTTTTTCCATGTAAATTTTAAAAATCAAGTAATATTCATCCAGAAATTTGTCAGTATGCGTTACCCATGAGGCAAGTGAACTTTGATTTTAATCTGGTGAGCAGAATGCACTACAACTTCTTCAGACATCTGCTGCGCTCAGGTGGTTGCAGCCCGTTGAGCATTATGCTGCCTACAAAAAAATCCACTCAGTTAATTGACCAGCATTTCCAACATGGTAAAGAATAAAGAAAGAAACAAAAACCCAAGTTGGAAATGCTGCTGTAGAAAGGCCACCCAGAGTAGTCATGAGTAACTGTTGCAATCATGAAAATGCAATATGAAATTTCCTAGGTGCTATTCTAAATGGTGTGGTGTCATTATGCCAAATGGAAAGGCAGTGCCAGTATTCCCGAAGTTAAATTTCTCTTGGTAGGCCTCTCAGATACGCATTTATGTTCCATATAGGTTTGCTCACCAACTGTGCCTCTCACCGCTGGTTAAAATTGAATTCGAGCCCCGTTACAAAAATAGTCTCTTGTTTGGATTCTTTAGTCTTTACACTGGAATTTCTATAGTGGTCTTAAAAGCTGCATGTCATATCACTGTACACAATATGGTTTTGCATTATTCATGCTCCATTGATAGCGATTTCTGTATAATATTCTTCTTTGGTTATACAGTAACATGGAAGGCAGGATGTCTTTCCTAGAGACGGGAAGAAACGTGTATCATACATTTTAAATTATTTTAGAACAAGTGCATGAGATAATGTCACTGACTTCTGTTATTTATTTGTATGTTTTATTATTCAAGGTGTATGCACTTTTATGAAGCAGAATTTATATTTTTATGTTTAAAATGTTTATTTCTGAAACAGCAGTTGATTATATAGCATACAGTTGGAATTAAGAGAAAAGTGGAAAATGTAACAAAATATAATAAATTTATTACATGATGCTCTCTTCAAGCCATATTCCTCTTTTCTCCCCTCGGCCAACCAATATCTTTTTGGTGTTGAGTAATAATGTTTGTACTGCATTGATCTGTACAAAATGGTTTAAAATTACAGTGTTAAAAGAGCAAGTTACAGAGGAAACATAGATACTCTGTAAGTTTAAAACAAAAAGTCACATCCATGTTTATGTCATTTCTACAATCGGAGATGATTGTTCCCACTCTCCTTAACAGTTTGTCCCAGACCATAAAGCTGACTGAGTCCAACTCACTTTCAACATTTCATATTATTTTCCCTCTCCTGAAAAACTTTTATGATGAGAGCAGCTAGCAATATAAAAAGGACCATTCTTTTCTCGGTCCTCTCTTGCCCCTGATATTTGGTGTCTTTGTTTTTAACCATCCTCTCGTGACATTTTTTCAGCTGCATTCCTATCACCCTTCAGGATAGAACTCCGTCTTGAGAATGTCACGTAACTTATGGCCACTTGGGGGCACTATAGATTGTCGTTATCAACCGTTTGAGCAGGCCAGCTGCAGGTTCTTTGCCAGCCTCCCTGGCTGTGGAAATGCTTACTCAGTTTGAGAGCGCACTACCTGTGAGAGGGGTTTCATTCAGATGAGTGCTACCAGCCATCATTTGTTCCCAGAAGCTGTTAAACACAGCTCACGGGGCAGATCCTGCCTTACTAAGGCGTAGCATTATGGTTTAGGGTTGGGATAGGGAACTGTGTTCCTACCAAGGATGATTATGACTGACATGGCATAAAACCTGGAGTGTATAGCACGCATAGACTTCTCTATTACCATTTAAAATGATAAAAATTTTGCCTTAGGTTCTGTTAAAGAATTTATGTAGTACCTGGATTATCCAAGAGGCTTCTCTGTCTGAGCATGCTCACATGTCACAAAAATGTAGATTGAATAATAATGCAAATATTTAAGGATCATTTTTTTCTGTCTTCCTTAGAATTTGGATTTTTTTTTTTTTTTAAT